ACCGCCTGCCGGGCGGGAGGAGCGCGGCCCGGCCCGGCCTCCCGAGCGCAGGATCTGCGGGAGCCGTTTTCCGCGGAAGCCGTGCGTGTCGGCGACCCCTTACAGCTCCCACGCAGGTCTCCTCAGAAGAGGCCACGGAAAAGTACCCGTGAACTCTGTGTTCGCCCTTTCCCTTGTTACCAGCTGCAGACGTTTTTAGGGACAACAGTGTGTGTGCATCACTACATGAAACCGTAAGTGCATAAGGAAACAAACGGTTCGGCTATTTTGCGTTAGAAGAGACTGCTGCTGAGCTCATACACTCAGCCCCCGTGCCCTCCAGTGTCTGGTACTTGCTGAAAAGCGACGGGCTCCGTCTGCCCCAGCACGCACGTGGCCTCGCGTCGCCATCCGTGCTCCAAGCCGTAGCGTTCCCACCCCTTCCCTGGGGACGATGTCCAGCCATCTAGCAGGGTTTGGTGTCAGGAAGTATTTCCTGATATTCAAGCTGAAGTTTCACATTTTACTTCAATCCCGTTGCCTTCTGTTTACATAGTAAAATCATAATAGCATAAATCATAAATACAATACTACATTATTAATGTTTCCTCCTCTGGGTTTCCAGCTACCAAATATTTAGTCTTACGGCTAATGCTTGGTAAAAACCCAAGAAGTGAATCAGCTCTCATTTTTAACACCACTAGCTTTAGGGCAGCAGGGAAGAATTTGGAGGATGTGGTTTTGAACCATTATTTAGCTTTGCACTGAAATTCCCCATTTTGGTTTCTAGTTTTTAACCATTGGCAGTCTGCAGAAAGTGATCTAGCATTTATTTGCTTACTATATTCCTCCTGGAAAAAACAAATCAAAGCGCAATGAGAGCAGACTACGAGGATGACATAATTTCATCCCTCTCTTTACTTTACACCTATGAATTTGTAAACTAGGCACCGCCGTCTGTTTAATCAGGTCTGAGTTACACAACCTTTATTACGGGAACGCATATTGCGTTTGCAGTGTGTTCCTTGCATAAATAAATACGACGCATGAGGTCTGACCGGCTCACTCGGGAGAGAAACAGTTGCCTTCCTAAATGTAAGTCCCGTTTTTTTAGTGTTAAAAACGATACAAAGATCATGCTGGATGTTTCCAACCAGGTCTTTGATTTTGCGATGCTACATTTGCCTGGGAAGTCATCAACACCGGACCGATACCCTCAGAGCTGATCCAGCGTAGCTTAAAGAGGCAGGATGACAAGCGCTAGTTGGGGTGCGGAAGCCGGGGTTGTTTTTAAGCCGTGCCCAGCACCCGCTGCGGCCCTGGACTTTGCATTTCAGGTGGCTGGTGTTTAACCACCTCCCTCTGCCCCCTCATCCCTAGCAGAAAGCCGCCTGCCCTGCGCGCTCGGCTCTAGTGCAGCACCCCTGCTCAGCCCTCAGCACAGCTAGCGCTTCGCTCCTCCTTCCCTGCTCTCCTGTCTTTTCTTCAAGCTGCCTGGGTCTGTGCTGTTTTAACCCTGGCGTTATATTGCATTGCATCAACAAATTCACCCCCGGTTTCCCTGCAGGTGTGCTAGCAAGCTCAGGCTCGAGAATTTGAACGCCGGGGAGTAAGGGTTTACGCGCTGTGACAGAAGCATACTTAGACGTTATCACAGCAAAGTTATTTTTAAATCACCATTAACCCAAATAGCTAGGGTTGTGCATCTGGGACAATCTTCAATTTACTAGGCATATGCTCTAACCCCTTTTTAGCCTGGTAAAAGCCGCTGGCTCCAAGGACAACATTTACCCTGCTTCATGCAGGCTTGGGCACTCCCTGCCGCATTACGTGGGGCCAAACACACTTAGAGCGGCGCAGGACATCCCAGACCCCTACCTCTAGCAGGGATTCACAGAAACGTTATGGAACGAGCCGTGCAGGAG